TGATTAAAGCAATACGAAAGTTGGACGATTGTGTAAATCACCCTACTCAAAAGTAGTAAGTAAGCGATTATTCCCGGGTAATTTAAAAGGCCAACTTTGCTTAGTTTACTGATTTAAGCAGTTATGGTATGCGGTGACCTTCGGAGGACCACTCTGCAGTTCAGTGCCATCATCAAATACTTGCTGGGTCGACGGATGGTGTGTAGAAAACGGGAAGATTATGAGTAATTCAACCTACTTAAACATTTAAGTAGGTGGCTGTAACACATAAGGACCTTTCGAACACTCCACAAAGAATCCCTACCCAATGGTCTACGTAATTTACCACCCCCGTGTCCCACCTTGTCAGTCTGTACTGTTTGTTTAATCGTACCCATTTTATTTGGTATTCAGTTCTTTAGTCTCTTGGCGCACTTTTTAGTTGGACGTTTTTGTTTTGTTCTAGGTGACCTCAATACTGGCCGAGCCGCAGCTCTGTGTAGACCGTGCAGTTGGTGTGGAACTGAACAGACCACTCGTTTGGTTCTCTCGTTGGCGGGCCTGGAGACTAGGTCTTCTTCCCTCACGCGCCTCCTTCTACCGGGCTGACCTCTGGAAGTTCAGTCTTCGTCCCTATCAGACTGTCGTCGTGTTCGGCGTCGACTGCATGGTGGGTGCATCTTCCTTGTCCTATTTGCTTTGTCTTTCGATAGCATGCCTGTATCAGTCCGTACTCGCTGCGATCGTGTCGTGAGGATATATCAGGTCATTTAAGAAAAGCGACTGAGGTGGTTTGGGCACGTTTTTCGTCGTCCGCACTACGATCTTTGCTGTGCTGCCCTCGATCCGGAGCCGCAGTCCACTTGGAGGCGTCAAAGAGGAGGGCATCTGAAAATTTAGTTCGACACCGTCCGTGAAGACATGGAAGTAGCTCTTGGACTTTGGAGATGGAGCAGAGACTGTGTGGAGCTTTCCAGATCCACTGCCGCCAATCGTCACGCATGGAGAGGTACCGTCAGTGACATCGTTGAGGCCGGCTAGATCAGGCATGATCACAGCCGTAACAAGTAAGTAAGTAAGTGTTCAAGTGCATTTCGGACCTCACTATACGAACTCCAGCCCTAGAGACGCGCCAATTGAAAAATAAAGCCGTCGACTTAAATTTTCCCAGCACTAATTAATTTACCGTGGGTTTTCTTGCAAACTCTTTTTGATCTTGAAAAGTGCAAACTTGCACGTAGACCCGATTGCGTCTTGTTCTTCTTGGAACAGGGATGAACTCAAAATAACTATGAAAAATTGCCGAACTTAATTTAAGATTACGTTCCAGACGAGCATTACACGTTTCTCAGAGGTTCAACTCTAGCAAATGGCTTGCGCGATGCCAGTTGTCAGTCTGGAAGTAAGGCAACCTCGCCTTTATTGATGGTTTTGTCAGTTAATTTGCGGATGTCTAGTGTTTGGTATAATCGGTTTACTCAAAATTATAGAATCTTGAAACTGCGCGTTAACCCTGCCTATTCGAAACCATAAAGTGTGAAACCTTGCTACCACCGTTTACGGAAAATGGTCCGAAGGACTATACTTGTAGTATTTGGAAATATATTTATTCTTAGAAAACCGTCCTACCGGACGATCTGAGTCCTAGTCGATCCGTAACAAGTTTGGGTTAAGACGACTAGATCGTTTGAAATGCCATCTGCATTTTCAAATGCGTGCCACGTTATAGAAATTTGTGTTTTCCAATCTATTTAATGCGGCAAACATCGATAGGCTGGCGAGATAATAGGGAAACAAAAATTACTTCGAAGTTTGAATTGATAGTTTTGCCACTACCAAAAGAATGTGAGCTTAACGTAGCCGAGCTCCAACTTTTTACTTGTTGATTTTGCAAGGACAATGTTGCCTTCGTTCGTTAACATAATAGACTATTGTTCTTTTAGTAAATTGATGACAAAACTGTGTTGGCTACAGTTATTTGGTTCTATTTCTTCTACTTATGTGCATGAGCTAATCACCATCAGTCTTCCAAAAACTCATAATCCAAACTTCCCCTTTAGGCTACTCACTTTTATGACTTTATGCTTCATCCGATTTTTGCCCATCGGTGACTTACACCATTTGTCATAATGACATCGTGTGGAAAACTGCCTAGTCTTCTATAGTGTTTCCTAATAATTTGCACAGGGAGGCTCTCGAGATTTCCAACTCAAGGGGTTAACTTTTATGGGTAGGTTACTAGTATTCCTTATGCTAGGATACCTGACACATAGGGTTTGTTCTCCGATATAGCTTATGCCTTTTGGTCGTTTTCACCCATAACCGAAGTTTGAGACCTTCGTGCAGTCGAACATTTTAAGCTAGTAGGTATTCTTATCCTTGTGTATCGACGTTGTATTGTATCGCTAGAGATATCGGTAGAAACCGGTATCTTTCGAGTCGGAAGGCAACGTGTCAAGGTAGTTACTTATGTGCCTTCATTTTTTGCAATAATGGAATATTTGTTGTCGTTCGACCTGTAGGTGCGTAATGCGATAAGGCCCTTACTGGCAAATTGGATTTTAAATAAATTGCTCATAATTAGTGCGACTGGGGTCGTACTTTATCTTGGAAGTCTCGATGTTGTCATGGACTATCCGTTTGGCTCATCCTCCTTCAGCAAAGAATACCAACGACCACTGTATTTTGGAACTTCGGTTTTGAGCTGATCTTTCTGCTGATTTTCATCCGGCAATCTGGTCTAATTCAGTTCTGTAGGCATGCGCTTAGTGTCTATGAACGTATCTCGATCACACAAGCTACCTTTTGCATCGCCCTTGGACAGTTTCATTTCATGCAAAGTCTAGGCGCTTCGCTCGCCAGGATCTGCATGAAAGGAGAGGATACCTAATGACCAGTAGTCAACATCAGGCTTATTAACAAGCCAGTTTTGCAATAAACGTCCGTTTAATTGAGCTCCATAGAAGTATGTGGTGCGCACTCTGATTGCTTTTTTATCCCGGTAACTTTTGTCCACTTGTAGTTACGATCTCGAAGACTCCCAGACTCAGCATCTCCTGGAGGTCGTAGTTAACCACTACCACTGCAGAAATACCAATTGGCATCGTGTGTAAGATCTCCCTCCGGTTGCGGTCTAAAAGTTAATGATAGGCTCTTCAGACCCTGTCGTGACCAGAAAGTGACGGAACTGGTAGCGCCTGACTTGCGGCTGTCTTCCATCCCAATATTTTATGTCCCGTAACTAAAAGGCAGAGCTTCGTCCTCCTCATAATTTCTGTCTTCGCCTAACTTGTTTTATTTGTCACGGCATCCATCGCGACTGATTCAATTCGTAGGTTTGGAAAAAGCTGTGTTCTATCGTTTTCAACTCAGCTGTCGGATAAAAACGCAGCCCACAGGGTAGGGTCAACAACGGAAACTTAGCCATGCAACTATTTCCTCATCAGAGACTTTGACATTTTATGGGGCGATCAGTTTCCCAGACCTGAAGATTCTGCGCTCTATTATTGCTACAACTGCTGCTCTGCCAGAACATGACTAGTTTGCCGTTCCATGATCCGCAACCCATGTATGCGTAGCTTACCCGGCAGGTCTTGTCCTCCCGGCTTCATTTAGCTGTTTACCCTCTCTTTTGTATTCCAACATTATTATTCTCAATGAAATTTTCTGTCGATCGTTTTAGACTTGACATTGCATCAGTTTATGTCCTTCAAACCGCACCCGAATGTGCCATTACATCCTGATCCTTTTGTCTGTGACGATTTGCCACTGACCCATGAGGAAAACCGGGAAGTTCAAGCCGTAGATGTTGACCGGCCGCTCTCTAAACGGATGCTTCATCCTCTTGAACGTCGTCCAATGTCAGCTGATTTGTCTACCGGTGAGGTATTTATTGAAGAACCGGTGGAAAGCAGAACGCCTGACGCCACACCTCCGGCTTTAAATCAGAGTAATGCAGCGGAAATGGAGGATCCTAAGGAGTCGGTCTTTGACAAAGATGCTGATAAGGACGAAATAGCCATTGCCTTGGAGAAAAGGACTCAACCTTTGTTGGAATTAGTATATTCAGAAGAGAGCTATGTGCGCAAATTGCGTGTAGTTTATGAACTCTACATGCCTGCGGCCTATAGAGCGTCCCCAAGTACAGCCGACAGCACGTCTCCCTCAAGCCCCATGATAAACAGCAGTACCACTGGATTTGAAGAATTGGCGAGTAAGCTGCCTCCAGGTGGGCCAAATGTGCCCGAAGATTTGGTGGCTCGTTGGAGGATTCTTTGGGGTAACTGGCTTCAGCTCTACGAGTGGCATACCGGATTCTACGAAAAAATGAAAACGTTGGTTAAGGAAGACCCCGATAGAATTCCCAAACTTTTAATCGACTCTCGGGCCCGCCTCCGTTCTATTTATTCCAAGTATTGTGAAAATCAAATAAAAGCGGCGCATATAGCTGAGCAGCACAAAGAGTTCTTCGACGAATGGCGTTTACATATCTCGGATAAGGAAGACGTCATTTCTTTGTTAATGCAGCCCGTCCAGCGAATTATGCGTTACCAGTTACCAATTTCCGAAATCGTCAAGTGGACAGAGAGGGCTCATCTTCCGTCTTTGCCTCAATGGCAAAAAGCTCATGAAATCATGAAGGAGATTCCGAAGGACACCCAACTTATTCTAGAGGTGAGTTTTCCTTCCAAATTGTGCTTATGCAAGACTGTTTTGTCATTTAGTGGTTAAATATTTTTTTAAGCACGACGAATTTGTATGCCCCCCACACCCAGTTCACGTATTCAGTAGTCGGGTTTCGAAAACAGTTGTGGACCCTCTCGAGTATTTTTGTGTTCTTTGTTTACAATAAGAAAACCTTCTAGTTAATAGCATTCTCAGCGGTTTTTAGCATACCCCAAAACTGAGAGGCCTTTCTCCCAGAAATTAGAATTTTGTCAAACCAGTTCTTGATACCGAAGCTTACTTCAACTCATAATAATAACTTGCTTGGCAGTCTAACTAAGTCAAGATGAAAACGCAATGTAGGTAGGCTGTATTCAAGAAGTAAGAAGAATGATTTTATGATGCATTTTCAGAGTCTTTCAACAAGTTGTTGCCTTCGTTTTTACCGATGCCCGGTAGAATCAATTAAATCGCCCACCCAACAGCTTTACTGTCAATTTTGACGCTTTCCACCGTATGATCCACAGCGTGATGGTACAGGGACGATGACTGATGCGTAGATTAGTTTTAAGTGCTAGTAAATTTCTGTGGCACCAACCGCACTCTCTCTTCCCTCACACGTCTGTGCCCGTTGTAAAGACAGATTCAGGAAGACCAGAGGCAGGATCGGGCGCAGGTGGCTGGAGTCACCGAGCTGGACTCAGATCCCACG